TATAAAATCCCAAACAAGCAAAATCCCTTTTCTTATAGGGTAGCGAAAGAAAAGAATTGAGTGAAAAGATCAAAGAATCTAGGGAAACTCGAGAAATTGGTTAGTGGCCATCTCTGTTACGTCCACTCTAATCTAAACCACTATCTTCCCTAGTAATGGCGTCAAACTAGTACAACTTTCTCCTAAGATCTCCTCCACCAAAGTAGTACGAAGCTTTGCCATTTAGGGGTGAAATTGGTGTTCTTGTTGTGGGGATAAATAGGGGTGACCTCGAGCTTTTTGGTTGGGAAGAAACATGAATGGATCCAATATTCATGAATAGTATGAGAGGAGGAGCCACTAATCGAAAAGCAAAGCTAGGCTAAGGGAGAGAAGAGGACGGTAGGGTTATAGATTTGGGGTTGAAAATGTAGGATTTCTGCAAATTTAGAGAAAATGACAATGGGATTAGTTGGTCAAGGTAGACCAAAGAGTAGCCCCAAATTTGTAACTTCAAATTTGCAACCCCAAATCTGTAATCCCACATCTATAACCCTAAATCTTATTGCAGTGGTGGGGTTTCTGTCAATGAATGAGTGATGGCTAGAGGTGGGAAAGGAAAGGGGATAATAAAGGATAAATTTGGAAAGAAAAGGATTCTTGTTTTTTTTAAATGACTTGGCAAAATAGTAATTTCACAAAATAAAGTACTCCTTCTATCCTTTTTTTTAAAACTTTTTTCCAAATTAAGAATTTTAGAACAATATTTATCTGTATCTATAATACTCTTAAAAAAATAAAAGATAAAAAAAGATTTTTTGTGATTGAATAATTAATTAAAATGAATAGATAATGATAGGGTTAAAGTAGAGAACAAATATTTGTTTACCTTGAAACAAGAAAAAATCATAATTAATTTTATATAAATTCAAAATTAAAAAAATTTATTTTGGGACAAAAAAAGTAGTAGTTTTGTCTTTTTCTTTTATAATTTTTCAAATTATATCAACATGGACCCACATTAAATTGTAGGTGGTAGATTTTTGACTCATGAAGATTCAAACTAGCATTGGTAACATGTAAATAACATCTAACATGGAGCTCACATGGACATGTATATATGAAGGAGGCCAACGATATGCACATGATCCTTTAATGTTGAATATTACCTTATTATCCTAAACTCAAAAAATAGGAAGGTAAAAACTGGTAAATTATAAGATAAGGGGTAAAATCACTCAATGCCAAAAAGTTGAAGGGCAAAGTGGGTTTTTGCCTTTAAAATAAAGAGAAAATATCTTGCAAAATGGTCGAAGCATTTTTAGAAAATTAAAAAATTTATATAAGTTATATGCTCCATTTATTCATACACAACTCAACTCTTAATAAGGAAAATTTTAATTAAGTACAGTACTATTTATTTATGGATAATGAGATAGTAATTAGTGGTACTTTCCTAATTAAGGGATTTTCTAACTATTAATATATACACGCTATGGTCTAAAATAATAATACTAATTGTAAGCTAGTAAATGGCCAAAGAAGATATTTTATTTAATAGTGTACCACAACAAAACAATTTATACAGTACTTATTAAAAATTCAATTTTACCCTTAATCTGCTTTACTAACCCTAAAAAAACAAAATCAAATTCCTTTTTTCTCGAGTGGATTACTGCTACACCTTAAATAATTAATGCGACACAAATGAAAGAAGATATTTTATTTAATAGTGAAAAGGACTCCGTTCCTATTAAATAAGATATCAAATTTGAGTTTTATGAGTGGAGAAATAAGCATTGAGAGAGTTTTTTTTCATGTAGAATTTAACACAACTCGATTTCAAATTAGTTGAGATCTAATGTAATTTTCGGATACCAAAAGATTAGTACAAAAAAAAGGGTTAATATCACACCTTTTTAGCGTAATTGTCTATTATACTGCTATATTACACTTTTTTCTAAAATTCTATATTTTTGTGTCTTAATAAATTAAAAGGTATAATAATCAATCAAGACAAAAATGTGTGATTGTGTGGCAATAACATTACCTTTTTTCTCCAATTAACTATGATTTTTTTATTTTGAAATTTTTTTAAATTAATTATATTTTTATTTTTTAAATAAATAAAATTATTTTTTCTTATTTTAACTTTATTGTTATTCTTTTCTTTTAATTGTTTACCCTCCCACAAAAGATTTTTTTTAACTTTTACATTTTTTTAAATAATGTAAGTAAATATATAAAATATCCCTTAATTTAAAAAAGAACTTCAGTCATTTAAAACAAAAAATTCTTTTATTTTATAATAATAGTCATTTTTTAAAAGATATACAAATATTTTTTCCGTCGTAGCACTATTATTATCTTTAAGTTTAATTCTCTATAGTATGTTAATTTATTATTATTATTATTATTGAGGTTAATATAGAAAAAAATTAAAAATTGTGTGCAAATTCTTAGTTAATAAAAAATAGAAAAATGACTAGTAGTATTATAATATTATTATGGGGTACATAAAGTAGTAATGTTTACTAGGAAGTCTTTTTGGATTCTAATTGGAATAGAATCTTTCTCCCTTTTTTTTTTTTATTGGGAATATGGAGAAGAGTGGCGAAATCAAGATTTGAGATGAAGAGGTCAAATTTATCGAGATTTAAATCAAATTTGTATTTAAAGTATTTTTTTTGTGATATGTTTTAATTATATTAATTTGAAAATTATATAAATTTTGATTTAATGATTTTATTTAGTAAATAAATAACAATTAAAATTTTTTTTCTTTTCAAATATGGTGTCCATCGAATATTTTCATTTAGATAAAAAAAAATTTTAATTGTCATTAATTTGGTTATACAAAATTATTAAGCTAATTAACATAAAATTAATAAAATTAGGTAACTAAAAAGGATAAGAGGGAGTAACACATAATTGTAAAGTTGTATATTTGGGTCTAAAATCAAATTTAGGTAACTAAAAAATTTTACATTGAATGCTAAATATGTTGTCCTTCAAAATTTTTGGTGATTTGTGAATAATTATTTAGTTGTATTTGTGGGAAAAAAATATATAATAAAACACATCTAAAAAATATATTAAATTTAGAAACATATTAAAAATTTATATAACAAATAACAAAATAAAATAAACATATTTGATTTAATAAAAAAATGTAAGTTAGAGGTAAAGTTTTGATATTTGACAAAAAAAAAAAGATATTAACAACTAAAATGAATATTTTAAACTAATTTTAAGCCCTATAGAGGTAATGATGTAGGGTGTTTCCAAGCAAGGACAAAGAAATATTAAAAGTTTAGAGATTTTCTAAACAATTTTTTGGCCAAAAATAGTAGTTATTAAAAGGAGTTTTCTATATTTACTAGATTAATTTTAAAGAGTTATTAATTGTTGTGTCAATATTTTGTTATGAAATTAATGACAAGATATGCAAAAAGAATAATGATAATTATTTTATAAACATTAAGAATAATTAGGTAAATAAAATAAAATTAAAAAATAAAATTTTTAAAATGAAAAATTTAAGGATTAATTTGAAAAATTTTCAAAAGACCAATGTAGCCTCCTGGTCTCAATGTGGCTCCGCCACCGATGGAGAATAACCATTGAGTAATACAGTAGAAAAAAATTAAGAAAAAAATTACACAGCATGTTTCTAATTCGACTAGAACATTTTAAAAAAAAAATTTTTTAATGCATCTGATTATAAATTATTTAATATTTAACCATGTTTAGTACATTATTATAATTCTTTATCTTCTAGTACTTTATGGTTTTTCTCTTCACATATCTTTTTAGCAAGAACTTTCATTCTCTAGTTCTTTATTAAAATGTTAAACTAATAAGAAAAAAAGAGCATAAAGTAGACTTAAATTAATATCAATATTGACTGCAGCAAGAGGACCAGTTAACTTATCCTTTCCTTGATTGAGCAGATTATTTTACTTCATCAACTTATGAAGATACAATACAATCCTAAAATAAGATTATTTTTGCATTAATAACTTATTAATAGTTTAAAAATTAGAGTCCATTGAAATACAATTAACAAAACAAAAAAGAAATGAAGAGTTGCTATAAGCAATGAGAGAGCCGAGATTAATAAAGCAAACAAAAACCAGTGGAATAAGAAGGGCACACGAAGGGTATATATATAAATAAGTAGTGTAGAGTAGAAAGATTTAATTCTTGAAGAATAAGATGGCTAGTCCTATTCAATATTGAATTATAGTAGTTAATGAAAAATTATTATTAATATAATTAGACTTCTTAATTTCTTATTAATGTTGAATTGTAGTACTTAATAAGAATTATTTTATTTTATTTTTAATCTGTAGGTCTCCCACCACCACTATTCTAAAATTATAGATTGAACTAATTTCCTATTGTATATTGATTTCTTAAATTGCGGTTCTACACCCCTTATATTAGATGTGAACTACTCTTTAGATATTTTAAAAAGCTCATTATATATTTTTTGAAAATATTTTTCAAAAAAAATTTCTTTGTGTATTTATTTGATAATTTTTTTTATAAAAAAATTATTATTACAACAATTTTATGCATAGTTAAAATTAAAATATGAATAATAATTGAGATTTTCATTTTTCTATGTATAGTTCTTATTAAATAATTTTGTTAATTAAAAATATCTCAATTATCTTTCATGTTAGATTTATATAAAAGTATCATAAAGAATTTTATACAAAAAGTAAAATAACTTATATTTTAAAATAAAAGAATTACATGCAAATACAAAGTGTCCACACTCCACAGTATAAATAACAACAATTAGGCATGGTGAACAAAGAAAATTCTTCAAGAAAATCCACTATCTATCAAAGTAGGACCTATAACTTTAAAGTTATGAGCTTTCAATTTTTTTTGGATAAATTTTTGATAAGTAAATATGGGTGCTACGTACATGAGGACTTTGCAAGATATCACCTCTTGCAGAAATATTCTAGCACAAGCATACTTAATTACAGAGTTCTACTAAAATCTAATGCATTGGTATTGGTATGATTGCACCCAAAAAGATTTTAGTAGTCATTCTTTCATATGAAAATGCTTGCCACTAGACCCACCGAATGCTTGTGAGCTTTCAACCTTTAGATCTTTATCTTATATGTGCATTTGGTTAAATAACAAATTTAGTTCTTGAATTTTCAATTTTGAATAATTTTAGTTTTTAAATTATTTT